GCCCCCCATCCAGTCATCGGTAATATTCACAGGCACCCCATGTACTGTTACCCTTGTCTTTCGATGCCCATATATTCAGTCTGGAAGTGAATTGTGTTTGCTATTAGTACGCTTTCAGCTGGCTGCCTGGCTTTTTGCTCTGTCACCAACAGTGTCCCACATGGCATTCGACATCCTAGCCAGTGTGACACCCACCAGTGGTCTTGGTCGCAGCGCCAGCGCCAATATGGGATGTCCACTGGTCGCGATGTCAATATATGACACTGCGCCATCGGCCCATGGTCAACTTCCCAGTTGTGGTGTGAAGCTGTAAGGTTTCTTCCACCAGCGTTTTGGGGTTGACTTCCTTGTTGCTGCCACCAGCATGTGTCCCAATCGATCTGGTCGTTTCCGGTTCAATACCAGCTTTGTCGTTCTCTCGAAGTAACTGCTTTGATTTCAAGTCTAACCTACCCACATTGTGACTTTGATCTTAGGTAGACGAAATCAATCAGGTGCCGGGCCGTAGTGCAAGCTGAATCTGGGGTAAAGTTGATACCGCACAAGCGTAAGTAAAAGAAAAATAATAAAACACACTCATGAGGTTCAAATATGTTGAGAAATAACAATTAACTTTATCTATCTGTTTCTCTCCTGGCCTGTTTTTATGGATTCATGACACTTTTGCGTTTCTTAAGCGGGTTATGGCATCTTAAGTCGTTCGTCAATAAAAACTTGCTTTTGGTAGAAAGGTTAAGTCGAAAAGGATGTGGAAATCTTTTGGTCAGCTTCTGTGAGGCAACACCAACTAACTCCAAACTTGAACTGTCTGAAACTCTGCCTCATGATGGTTGTTTATATGGACATCGACCAACTCCGGGGTGGGGCCTGTCGTGGTTTGGGTTCTTTGACAATTCTTAATTCCCAACAAGAATTCTCTTTGTTCTTAGGCCAGGAAAATTAGTTACTTCCCATTTTTGGAAGATAATCACTTTCCACTTCGGGGTTCCTCCCTCGTCTGTGAGGGAAGTTCAGAGGAGAGTTATCTTCCTAGACTCTTCCTCTCTCACATTGGTATCTCATACCAATCCCCTCAATGGGTGTTAACAACTTCTCCGTCTTTCTCATACATTCACCTCTGCCTATTACCCATGCTACTTCTTAGCCAATGATCTCTCGGCAGTGTGGGTGTGGCTAGACTGGCCCTCTTGTTTACAAAATCCTTTTTTTCTTCCTTTTCCTTTGGCCAAAACAATTCCAATTCCCTGATTGCTATTCAATTCCTTATCACATTCCAAATCCACTTTAGCCAACTTTTAACTGGGTGGTCATGTTTACCTGATAATTAAATTCTTTATTTTTCTCATGTCGTCTTAAAATCACCAGATGCCTATTTTTATTGACACTGCGTCTGATGTCAACAGTTTGAAAAAAGTAATAATAACACTTTCATCCGTGATTTCCTTTCTCATGCCAAGATTCGTACATACACCAGATGGCTTCCCTCGCTGGAATCAGGAATTAAAGTTAAATGATATCTCTGAAATATAATTAATAGCTATTCTCTAGGGTGGTCTCAAGCTGAATTTTTTCATGGCTGCATGCGTCGGCCGACTTTGTTTATCTTTCAGAATTTTGTTTCATTTGACATGTCACTCCCTTATTGTGACATTAATTAATTTGACAGAATCACAGTCTCGCTACTTCTTACTGATTTTCTGTATTTTGTGAAAAGTATCTTCCTTTTGTAAATAAAATAAATTCTTTTTTTTAATGTCGCTCAGTCTATCTTCTGGTATAGCTCTTTCTCGCTTTAAGTATTTCCTGTTTTTAATTTCTATGGTTAATTAATTAGCCAATTATCATAGCTAAATAGTGTCACACCATTATTTTTGGCCCAATTTATAGGGCCTCCTCCATTGTTTCTCTGCTGCCCCAATGAATTTCTGAGTTTTTATGTCGGAGACCAGCAGGGAGATTGTCCTTGTGTTGACAGTGTCCAGCGTTTTCGGAATAGTGAGAAACTCATTTCCTCTCACATATTCCTTGTACTTCTTTTTTGGGCTTGTTTCAGCCCAGGCCATTTTTTTTTCTGAAGTGCAGCTTGTTCCACCTCCACAAGCACCATCATGATGGCAAAACAATTATAAAGTTTGCTCTAAATTCACATAAATTCATAAAACAAAAGAATGGGAACTAAATAAAAATTAAAGTGAAAGAAAAAGAGTCAGGGAAGGGTGAAAAACAAGAAAAAGAGAAATTAAAACTTGGCTTGCAAAAAAAAAAGAAGTCATGTGTAAAATAAAAACAGAAGGAAATTTAGTTCACAAGCAACAAAATCAAAATGAATTAGAATCTGGAGAGGGTAAAAAACAAAGAAAATTAAACTTGGTTTGCAAAATAAAAGAACAAGTTACACATGGAAAAATAAAAGGATTGAACAGAAAGAAAATTTACTAAAACTGGCAACAAAAATAAAGACAAATTAAAGTCAGGGGAACGTGAAACACAAAAGAAAAAAATACACTGAAAAATAAGACTTGGCTTCTGTAGAAAATTAAAAACACAAGGATGGAAAATAAAAGAAAACTGAAAATTAAAAGAAAAGTGCAAAAAAGTTTCACAAATAATGGACAAAACAAAAGAAAAAATTAAATGATAAACTTAATGTGAATTCAGTTCTTCAAATGTAAAAAATTCACAAACTTGTTAGATAAAACTTGTGCTGGACGGATCCAAATTACAGCAGTCACTGTTCTGCCTGTTGCCTCATTCTCTCCATTTTTATGTATCATTTACATCCAAAATTTACATGTTCAATAAATAATCTCACAAGAGAGTATCTGAATCTAGGATTTATCTGTTTTAAATATGTAACCCATGAAGCCACCATTTCTTTCTTTCAACAGTTTACATGTGAGGTACATTCGAATCTTTGTTCACACTGGAGGTTAATTATTTTATTCTAGTGTTGCAAAAAATATATGCAACCTTGGGCCTCTTTGTCCTCTGTTGTAGTTTACTGCATAATCATAATGTTGAATGACATTACTCTTGAAATTAACACTATGCAGTATAAGGATGATATGGATTATGATAATGCCCCAAAATAAAATCGGTATCGCCAATGAAATATGTCTATGCCTCCTTATTATATTTTTATATCTTGTACCCATTGTCCCCTATTAATGTTACATGATTCCCTGATTAGGGCGGGAGGGGCCATATAGCTCTCTAGAACTGCTCTTGTTAAGAAAATAAGCTTGAGTATATTAGTATAAAATGTGTCAAAATTATTTTTTTTAATATATTCATCTTTAAATTAGTGTCCCTCTATCCATTCATTTATTTCTAAATAAACTTTACACACATTGATAAAACACTATATTGTAGAAATATTCCATGTGGTAATTTTACAGAGTAAAGTTTTATGAGCATTCATCAGAAGTATAACTGATCTTCTCTCTCAAAACAGATTTATTAGTAAAGGTTAAAACATAAAAGAATTGTTATAGATTAAAATGAAGTCTATTAGTGAAATTTATGAGAATTCAAACTTGTATATTTATATAAGACTAGCAGTAGAGCCCGGCGTTGCCCTGGGATATAACAGTAAGAGATAGATCAAGTATCCACCATCATAAAGACTGAAAAATAAAATTGACAAAGATTATTGTTTAAGGTTGACAGACACGCATGTCTTAGTTTTTTTTTCTTTTTTTTTTTTTTTTTTTTACGAATTGGTCAAACCCAAACTCAAACAAAAACATTGTTTTCAATCGTTATGAGACTCCCGATTGAATAGAATAATTTTATAAACAATTGTCTTGTAAATGGAATTTTTAAAGCATTCTGAATGTAAAAATAAAGAAAAAAGTGTGCAAGACAATAAGAAACACTACATGCCAAAAAAAAGTGAAGTTTTGTTGAAATCGGTTGAAAAATGTAGGTAGCCTTTCTGTAATCTTTTAGTTTTACAATTTATGATTTTTACTTATTGAATACAGTAAAAAAAATTGCATATTTTGCTTGTGGTGATTCATAATTAGAATTCTGATTTGAATATATTTTCCACTCGTTGTTTCTAATACAAAAAATATTAACTTTATTTGGGTTTATTAATTATGATCTAACAAATCTTATTCATTTAATAGCCTATCTGTAATAATAATCTTTTACAATTTATGATTTTTACTTATTGAATACAGTAAAAAAATTGGACAGCATGTGTATTTAAAGTAGTTTCCCATTCAGGTTATTATTTTTAGTTAGGACTTGTGTATGTTTAGATTTCATTATCTTTCCCTAAAGATAAAGAATTTATTCTGATGTTTGTATTCGTATAATCAGTAGAGATCGTTAGATTATTGTTTAAGGTTGACGGACACGCATGTCTTAATTAGTTTTTTATTTTTTTAATTTTTTACAAATTGGTCAAACTCAAACAAAAACATTGTTTTCAATCATTATGAGTCTCCCAATTGAATAGAATTTTATTATAAATAATTGTCTTGTAAATGGAATTTTTAAAGCATTCTGAATGTTAAAAATAAAGAAAAAAGTGTGCAAGAGAATAAGAAACACTACCTGCCAAAAAAAAAAAAAAAAAAAAAGTGAAGTTTTGTTTTATCGGCTGAAAAAATATAGGAAATCCGCTCCCATATTTAAAGGAAGCCACACACAAAAAACAACCCGATGTGAGTTGTCCCCTTCCATTTTCACGATGTCTCTTAATCGTGTTTTCAAATTGATTTTGTGCAAAAACAATTATTTTTCCCATTTTTGGCGCTGTTAGAACCACCACAAGGTAATTTTATGTAGTCCTGTGAAGTTTTGTTGAAATCGGTTGAAAAATGTAGGAAATCCGATCCAATATATAAACGTTACAGACACACACACACACAATCTGCGTTTTATAATAAGTAAGATACATTGGTATTTTATCATTACAATTTGGATATTGCTTCTTTCAACTACTTTTATAGACACTCAGCACCTTCATTTCTTTTTTCCTTTTGCAGATATGGAGTGGCTGACAGATGATAGTGTTGATCAAGAAAATATGATGGTTGACATTGGTTATATGCCTCAGATGGAACTCAAGTCCATGACTCCTTCAAAGAAGGCTGATGAACAAATCCCACATAGTAGCAGTGATTCAGATCAAGTTTTTGAGCAGATATTAATCAACTCTGAGAAGCCATCCATATCTTGGACAGAAGAGATCACTACAGACGAAGCTATGGATATACTAAGTGTCAAAATGTTTCCTTTTAAAGAGGTAAGCTATTCAAATGTTTTAGACATAATTCTTAGGCAAAACAAAACAAAAATAGGTCAAACAAAAAATAGCAAACTATTAAACTTTTGAAGCTCATAAATGGAACAAAACTGATAGATTAGGGAGAGATCCACAAAATAAATTTTCTTTGGGTCTCAATTTTATGCTTAATATTTTTTTTAAACCTTCTATTGCTGCACTAGTACTTTTTTCTCTGACACTGTTAGTGACAAAGACTGGCACAGTTGTTAATGTTTGGCAACTGCTACCATAAAGATAGGACTTCTTTATTTTTTTACTTCTTTATTTTTAGCCTAGCTAACAAGGTCAACAAGGCGATGAAGGCCTTATTCAGAACCCCATCCCAAGAGGACATCTAACAATGGAAAAGAAATAAAATGAAAAATCAAACAAAGAATGCCAATAAATAAATACTAAAACTAACAAAAGAACATATAAAACTCCTCAATGTTTAATTCATGTCGCAGAATTTGTGTAGAAGGCCGAACAGTGTATCCACTACATTAAATCTGCTAATATTGTCTTTTTGGTTGATAGATAAACAAATGAGATTGGCAAGTTCACCAAAGAAAAATTGATTAAATCGCTGTTGAGTTTAGGTTTAAAGGTCTTACAGACAATAAGCAGTACAGTCTTTCTCTTGTGGTACATACTGTTGCTCACTGCTGAAGATTGACTGCTTCCCACCACCAAAAAAAATATTTGAAAACCAAAGAAAGCATATTCTGTATACTATCAGAGCCATCAAAGTTCCAATGACTCGGTATAAGACATCCCTAGCTATGTGCTGAAAACTAATTTGTCTATGTATTACCTCCAGTTTGGAGAAATTATGGATGTGACTTCTGACCATAAGTGCAGGCAGTTGAAATTTGGAAAAGAAAAAATAATTTGGATATTGAAGTTCAAAAACTGCCAGTCATTGACTCCAGAAGAAAACTGGTATAATTATACTATAGGGAATTTGGTCAGCTCTCTGTAGCTTACTCAGAGAAGGTGGCTTGTGAAAAATTAATTGATGTGGGCCTGACAGTAAAGCAAAATATCATGCAGAAGTTACTGTCAGAAACAGCATAGCTGATCTCCATCAGGCCAACTGTAGTTATTCCAGGATTTACAAGACCTTAAAGGAAGAGGAAATTCATGTTTCTCTGTCAATTATTAAAAATACTTTGGGACAATAGGTAATGATGCCAAAAGAAAGGATCTGAAAGTTCCCAGGCCCCATCATTCAGGGATGAACACTTGCTGAATTTACAGTTCTCAAAGACAGGAAAACAAGTATACAAAAAAAAAACTTTTAGCAGAATTTTATACCTCAAAAAAAAAAAAAATTCTTTGAAGAACAATAATAACCAGAAGGTTATCTAATACAGGTTTTGTGCTTGATAAACATAAAAAAAAACAGAATGAAGTTGCTAGAATATGGAAAGATTGATGCAGAATTATGTGGCATGGGGAATCAAGATTTGAGTTGCATTGTGATTCTCCATATAGATGTCTTTAAAGATCTGGTGAGAAATAAAATAATAAATGCATCACTACCATATTTAAGTATAAAGAAAGTGGTGTTATGGTGTGGGGAATCTTTTCAGCTGCTCATACTGTTCAGCTGCTTCATGGAAAAAAAAGTTGATTATGTTTGGAATATTACAGAAAGGCTTGCTTTCAACAACTGAAAAATTGTTTTCTAAAGAGGAATGTATTGCCTACACTGTACAAAGACCACCAAAATGATTTTAAAAAGCTGCCTGTAAATTTATTTACAAAGTTTAAACGTTTAGTGAAATCAAAGGGAAAACCTATTTCAACTTACTTTATCTGTTTGTTTCATTCTTGTTTCCTGACCATTAATATTATGCCATTTTGGGCTTTGTATTTTTTTCTCTCAAGACATTTTCATATGATTTTATTTGTTTTTATATAGTCAGAAAACATTTGTTTTTAAACTTATCAATTGAGTAGTAAAGTCACTCATGTAAGAATAAGGAAAGATTGTTCACAGTCTGTCATATATACAAGGATTGCTCCCAAAATAAATTTGATACATGTTCATTAATGTACAAATAAAATATTGTACATATGTTACCAGCACTAATTTTTCCATGTATTTGTTATTGAGATTGGTGTACTTCCCATAAGTTCATGAGTGCACAAATATCCTTCTTGAAGAATGTCATCAAGTGACTGGAGCTACCCTGTAACAATATCACCATCTGTATGGGACTGTTTTCCAGATAAATGTTACTTGAGGGGGCCTAAACAGAGGATTACCTTCCCTCAGTCCATTCTGTCTTTCTCCATATCTGACTGTTAACTGACTCAGTATGAAGTCCACAATTAGCACATCTTTTGCATTTCACAACACTGTTGCCATCAATTTCTTCTTTGACTGTTGAATTTTGAATTTGAAGGTGGTAGTTGGTGACGATGGATGCTTCCAGGTCATGGAATCAATCTTTGTCTCTGGGGTAACATGATGCACTCAGATCTTATCACTTGTGATCATGTTCACCAGAATGTCCCCATCAACTCTCCTATACTGTTGAATAGACACTTATGGCAGTAGTCATCTACATTGTAATGTCACATACTCATGCGGTCAATAAAATTAAGGCTGTTCTAAGAAGTATTGCATACCCTCTGTTGTGTTTACAGGCTTCACAATGTTTTAATCCCAGTTGATTTATGTCTATCATAAACATCCTATATAATGAGGGTGCATGAATAAGTCCACATTCTGTCATATACAATTTATATGATGCTTTTTTCCAAAAATTGTTAAAAAATATCACCTGGGTTTTAAAGGTATCTGGTAAGTTTATGTTTACTCAGTAGCTAGCTTGACTCTTGTATATGTTTTATATGCTATCAAACATAGTAGTTATTTTAATTTTGAAATTAAATTTTTACTGTATAATGTTTGATCTATGTGACTAACATTCACCACTGAATTAAAAGCATTAATAAGGAAGAAATATTGAAAAATAAATATAAATATTTAATATCTGTCTATATTTCTGAGTATTGTAATTATTTACACTATTTACATTGTTCAGGCTGTTGTCCTCATTTTTGTTGTCATATTCATTGTTTCAGCCGTTGTATGTTATGGCCTTCTTCAGGTAATTGAAATTTTGAACCAAACCACTTATTTCAAATTTCAACTACTGGAGTAGATTGTTCTAATTCCACGTGCTATGTCTCTTCCGGATATCTCAGTATCAGTTATTTCCCTTTAACTCAACTCTCCAAGTTTTTGTTCACCTCTGCTGTAGCCAGGTATTGAACTCACAAATCTTTGGGTCAAGTCACTGGATTACTTCAACCATTTGTTCTTGAGGACATCTTTGTATGAATTTTTGGGAACTTATAAACCTAATGTCTCAGTAATCATTTTTATCAAAGCTCAATTTGTTTATTATTGTTTTTCTCTAGTCTGTATTACTGGTTCCTATATTGTATTCATGTCTATGCTTAGCCAGCTTAAAAGATTTTTCTTGCCTAGCATATGCACTGATTCCTTAAGTTTTCGGATTTTCCAGTAATGTTCTCTGTCTATTATTTCAACGGCCGAAATGTCATGAATATGGCAACAAAGATGAGGACAACAGTCCGAACAATGTAAATGGTATAAATAAATAAATATTTAATATTATAAGTAATATTAGTTGCTTTAGGGGTTTTTTTTTCAGCTTTATTAATGTATCTATGTATGCATTTGAGATGTACGTTGTGGGGTCAGTCTACATGGATTTTAGGAGGAAAAATAAAATCCAAGTATCATGTCCACAAATTACAGCACAAAATAATACTGCAAAGAAATGATCTTTGCAGAAAAGGTATATATTTAGATGTTGAAAATCAATGTTCTTTGTTGTGGCCATGAAGAGACCAATAGTTTAAGTGTTCAAAATGATTGGTTGCAAGTGAGTCTACAAATTTTTGAAGTGTTTTTGTTGCAAGTGAGTCTGCAAAGTTTGAAATGATATGTATGCCAATATGTGTGTGTGTGTGTGTGTGTGAAGCACATACTAATGAAATGTGTGTGACTGCTGACTGATTGCTTGTAATAGGAGTAATTTTAAAGCATAGTGAAGAAAGAGACGATACAAGACTTACTTTCATCATGGCATTGTATGTAGAAATATCATCATTGGCATATGCGTTGTTATAGTAAAGTATGTCTAAACTGTTTATCAAGGCATCATCTGGTTCACCAATTGTCTTTTGCTGAATGTCCTTCACTTACTGGGTTGTTGCAGATCTGGTCCTGACTGTTCCATTTCAGATTTTGTTGCTGATTGTGGCTGACAAGCCACTTTTATGGCTTATGGCAAGTTGTTGACTGGCTCATGAATCCTATCTGAGTTTTGGGCGGAAATGTACTAGGTAACTCAAGCCTTGCCTTGACCTATTTTCAGGTCATCTGGAGTTCAACCGCGCAGATGTCATAGAGAGCACATCATATGATTGTCATATCCAATCAGGTTCCGGAAATCATTTATTTAATTTCAGAGCTGTGTTTGCACAGAACTGTAACATTTTTTTTGTATCTACTGAATTTAGTAAGATTTATTTGTAGGCATCTCTTGTTTGTGCTTCACTTATTGGTCATAAAATATAGGAATTTATATCCTATAATGTATCTCAGATACAGGAATCTAAATAAGAGGAATCCACTTGTATTTTTATGTTGTCCTTCCCCCTCTTTTTTTTTTTTTAGGTGCCTTATTACAACTTTACAACTGCATTTGAGAAAGCTAAGAAAGAAAATAAATTAGTCCATTCAATTATTCTATGGGGAGTATTGGATGATCAGAGTTGCTGAGGTTCAGGGCGGACTCTGAGGGACATTGTCCTCAAGGGTTCGCCTGTTCTCTCTTTACTCAAGAAAAGTTTCATTAGCAGCTTCTCCCTTGTGCTGGATCTTCAGGTCAGTTGAACAATTAATTTTTTTTTAATTCTTATTTTATTATTTCTTATTTTGATATTTTTTATTTGTGGTTTGTATGATATTTCTTGTATTATTTCAATCCTTCTAATGTTTTGTCCAACATTTTACAATGATATTCATTGAGTTATGCACAATATTTTACACATTTTATCAAATGAAACCATAATCATGTCCTGGGTTTGTTTAATACACTTTTGTAAAATTCCTTATAAAATGTTTCTAAAGTTATGTCCAGTGTTGTATTTAAAATACTAAATGAAATGAGTGTGGAAATCTGCAAGTTTACTAGTATTATATATTCTTTTAATGATGTTGTTTACAGAGTTTTTTGCTTCATATATTTGGGTGAAAATGAAGAATGAATCTACATATACTGTTGTAAAAAGATTCTAGGATTACTTTATGGAAAAAAGCTGATTTTGGTAGACAATTGAAAATGATATTGAAGTCACTATCAAAATAATTAAGTATTGATTTTTATGTGCAATTATAGTTATGAATGAAAAATGGAGAGAAAGTGAAGCTGTTCCATTCACATCTGGTATTCTAGTAAGATTCTTTGTAAGAATTATTTTTAGCTCATAAATATGATCTCTATTTATATCATCAAATATCAGCAAACAATATATTTGGATTTATTGATTGGCTTTACATGCACCATTTTTATTTCCTCTTTTAGGCTGTAAACATTAATGATTTGAATTAATTCTCTAATATTAAAATAACTGTCTTTCTTACAAACACAACATGGGTGGAAATGAACTGCTTTAATAACACTCTAAACCTGTGATAGTTTTTAATTTATTTTTTAAATGCCATGTCTCTTCAAGATATAGGCAATCATGGCCCTCCACAGATTACCTTTCTTTATTATCTCTGAATTGTCATGACTTCTTGCAAAAGATAATGGAGTGGTTTTCTGTTGCCTTCTGCATGGTTTTGAGTTTGGAGTTGTCATTCACTTAGATTGGCTGTCAGCCAAGGCCAGAGAGCCTAGTTTATGCCGCTATTTAACTCATAGCTGGGAAAGATGTGAAATAAAATGAAATGACATCAGTAATGTGCGTGAGCATTTCAGGTTAGTAGAGTTCATTACCAAGCATGGTGGTTTTATGGTTGATTTTAAAAAAAAAAATTTTTTAATCACATTTCATAACATACCATTTCATTATTGAAAGAATAGAAATTTAATAAAATGGAAGAAATTTTATTTCTATTTAAATTATCTTTTTAAATTATAGAACATTCAATTTTTTTTGTACTCTAATTTCAGGAGTTAAAGAATGATCCCTGTCCTGAGGTTGCAGAACTGGCTAAGATTTCTCTTGATAACTATAGCTTTCCTGCCATGATGATGGTGCAATTGCCCAATGGTACAGTTGTGACAAAGATTAATGCAAATGAATTACTTGATATGAATACTCTAATGTTGGAAACAGGGTAAGGATTTCTTATTGTCTCTAATAAGTGAGTTTACATTTTATAGAAATATTTCATGAAGTTTTCATAAATTTAATATTGTTTTTAAAAAAAAGAAAATGCTATATTACTAAAGTACATATTTAATTTTTTTCTAATCTGAAACAATAAAATGATCAGTTCTTGATCAGTTCTTATAAGAGCAAAAAACAAATTCTTTCAAATTTTTAAAACCATGTTTTCCAAAACATTCACTAAGATATTTGATTCAGATAGTTATGTGAACATAGGGAGGCTTGTTTAAAATTTTTTTTTTCTAATGTTTTAATAATACATTGTTTGTTTTTTCTCATTTTGAAGATGGGACGAATATAAGGAAAATTTATAAAATGTTTATCAATGATTTAACTAAATATCATAAACAGCAAAAAAAAACCCCAAAGAAACAAAGATATTTTAGCCTTGGTAAAGTGGGAGCACATGTGTACATGGGCCAAGGTTAAAAAATTGCTCATGCCTCCTTCAACACTTTAATTTGTGTATTGCGCAGGTGCCAAAGATTAACCCTAGCCTAGAGGTATTGTCTGGTGACATGCACCCTGGCTCCTTATATGAATAAGTGTACAACCTGCAGAAATGAGTTTGCTAGAAAGAAGTCTGACTAAAAACTGTTCAAAGCAATTGATATAAAGATATTAGTTTAAAAAGTCTCCAAGGCTAAATTTATAAATATATAAACATTTCTAAAAGCTTGTGATGATTGAAATGAATAAATAAAAATAACAAGACCAAAATTTCACCATCTATAAAAATAGATGGATAATCAGAATTGTGAGGTCATAATGCCATATTTTGATCAACCAATCAGAAAGCTTTCACAACTAGGGCATAAGAAATAAACAATAACAAGGAGACCAAAATTTCCCCATATCTAATAATAGATGTATATTTAAAATCACCAGGTAAATAAAGCCATATTTTGACCAAGCAATCAGAAAGCTTTCACAACCAGGATATAAGACTGCAAGCCAATGAGAAGTAGAGCAGCCTTTTTGAAGCAGATCTATAGATGTGTATATAACCAGATGAAAAAAATCAAACAAAACCAGAATCAGTGAATTAATTTTGTCCTTTCTCCAATGCTGCAGTCATCATAACATACCCAGAGATGAAATATGACATTTGTATGATTGGCTGGCAACTTTAAATGCCTAAACCATTTTGCTTCATGTAAAAACTTACACCCTTTCTTTCTCCACCTTTTTAAGCAGGCTGCTGATACATTTGAAAACATTTTCCTTTACTGATATTGTCAAGTGATGGCTCCTACATTTTGATACATAAATACATTTATATACCTGTACATATTTCTTCCTCCAAGACTCTTTCTCTCATATGTACAAGAAGTTTTACAATTGAAGTTTGAAACTTTAACTTTCACCTTATCCTTCTGTATTATTATATTGTGTCATATAAAGATTCATTTTGTATTTTTCAACACTTTGTGCATTTTTTTAATCCTTACACAAAGCCAATATTCACTCAAATCAATTATATTGATATATAGAAGTGATTGACATTGTCAGAAGATAAATAACTCATCTATGATAGCCTCCTAACCATCATAAGCCAACACATAGCATTAATGATTGGCACACGTTAAATCAATTCTGAAAAACCTGTGGAAGCCACTGATTACTTAATAAATAGTTGTAATTAGGAAGGTCAAGTTGATGATCTTCATATTGCTAAATAAACTTAGGTGTTGCATTATTGAGAATTTTGGCATCTTAGATTAAATATTTTCATGGCTATGTCCTGTGTTGAGTGTCTACTTAGTAGCCCCCTTAATATATGTCAAACTTCATCTGACAACTTAAGATATAACATTTCAAAGACCAAATTTTTTATTTTGTAATCAAAATGCTTATATACTATAAATTACCTTGATCTCCATATTTTCACGTTCCTTTGTCAATTTTGCAACATTTCTTTAGGAAAGATTGAGTAAAAGTTAACAAAGACAACAAATATAAGAATCTGATTATAAAAAAATAATTTTTAGCCAATCTTGTTTATGTAATCTCTTTTCTACTAACTGAATTTTTTTTTTTCAGATTCTTTCATCCATCAAGTCTAATCTACAAAAGATTCTTGGAGAAAGGTATCAAGATGAGTGGTGACTATCTTTAAAAATCCAGTTGCTGAAAAGTGTGAATTTTTTTTTTTTTTTCATTATTTCAGCATAACTTTTATTAAGGATGATGCAGGAGACCCTCTCAACTTGCTGTGATATTCATTATTATTATTAGTTTTTTTTATTAAGGGACCTGCTTTTTATCTATTTTTTATGTTTTTTTATTAGTTATTTGACTTGAGTCATTGCTAGGTCAAAAATTAGTGGTTGTTCTTTTTTTTTTTAAGCAAATTTGTTTATTACTTTTCAGAACAGGACGTCACATCCATTTTGAGATTTTCTATTGCTAATATAAAACCACTTTTCAATGGATTTTCTGATGGCTAAAAGAATACATAGATATCCAATAAATAAGATCAATTTTAAAATCAAATTATGTTTTTTATAATTCAGTTGAATCTGCCTCAAATTTTGAATCCTGCTATATTTTCTAACAATCTAAAATTTTGAATTTATAGAAAGTGATATATTTAATTTTATAATAATTTTTACATAAGCGATAAGTTTTTTGATCAAATTTGCCAGTATTATATATTTTTTAAATCTGGAAATCTTTGAAAATATGTTAAATGTTTGCTAGAAGCCCACACATTTTAGAAAAATAATATACATATTTGGTTATCCTATTTTATATTTTATGTCAGTTCATCAGATTTGAGTTAATATTTCAGTTACAACTATTTAAAAACATCTTATGTTTCATAGTTTTGTTAACTTGAATTCTTCATTGGTGCTTTTTTAAAGATGATTTTTCAAACAAATAAATGTAAATTAGTTTTGTTTTGATTCTATGATGTACATGCATAAAATAATTATATATTACCGAAAGTAATGTTGCAAGATAAAAATGAATGCAAATAATAACTGGTAAAAAAAGGTGTGTTAAAAGGATGTTTTTTCCTTTGACAAAGCTATTACTTTAACTACCTTCACTCCTCAGCAATATTTTATAGATTTAAAAAGTGATAATTAGAATTGTAATAAAACCTAAACATATGATAAAAGTAAATTTATATATTTTCTTTGTTCTTAAGAATTTACAACAAAAATATTAAACACTGCTTATTAGATTGTTTATTTACAAGAATAATTTTATATTTACAACATTCTAAAAACTAATGCCAATAAAACCAGGGTTGTTTGATTTAAATCAAACCAATTTAAATCATTTAAATCAAATGATTTTTTTTAATCACTAATTAAAATCAATCTTAAAAAATCTTTATTCAAAAAGAAATAAAACACAATTTTTTTTATTTTCATGCTATTTCATGAAGGAAAAAGTGTTAAATTTATTGAATCAAATATTTATTAATCAAGTGAATAATTTTTTTATTATAAAATAAAGTTTTAATCATTAGCAAACTTTTAAAATTCAACATGAACAGTTTTTGCATTCATGGATTTAAGTAGAAAGACCAATTTCGCTGCTTTATCTGTACCATGAAGGATTCTCATATGGTTTCACCAGTTCATCGGACAGCAAAACTGATTTAACACCAGAGAAGGAGGAGGCCACTGATAGCAAGAAGGTGTGCTATGGTGATAACTTAGTTGTATGTTTTTTTACTATCTCTATCAGTTTTTGTTTTGTTCAGGAGCTTTTTTTTCAAAATTCTTGAACAATTTTTTTCAAATATCTGCTGCTTCAGCAATAGTGCATATGTCACTCTGAATTTTCTTCAGAGTGCCATGTTTGTAACTGTAAAAGCTGTTCCTCTGCAGATTGGTCACCTTATTTCTCACTATTGAATCTATTTTGTTCCTGCTAACTTCACAAATTTGGAAGAGAATTGGTTTGTTGTTTATATAATTCTTCAAGCAGTCTGACATGAATAATATATATACATATTTGTTTATCCTGGAGGCATGACATGACAATTACCACCTTCTTGACAATATCTTGTTGATTGTTCCTAAAGTATTTAACCATATAAACCAGATATGTTCTTTTACATTTGGAACTTGTAAATCATGAGCCAGCAGATTTAAAATGTGTGTTGAATATCCATAAGTCAAAACACTCAATTCACTTTCTTCTAATAATTTTCTCATCTTCTTAACATTAGATGAATTAACTGTTAGCACACTACCAACATAACATCAGTTATTTACTGACTTCTTTATTGAAGACATGGCAATTTCCTGAAGGTATTTTGCAATGTGGAGTTGGCCTGATATGACTATTGTGTTCACTATGTATAGGTGACCAGTTAATATTTTCAGAGTAACACATAATGGGCTAATTGTGAATGTTTGACCATCCATCTTATGCAACCAAATGCTTAATATATTGTTCAGTGTGACGTTCATATTAAAACAGTTATTCAATAAACATAAATTACGACAACATAGAAACTAAAAGAAACTTTTTCTCCTTATAAAAACTCTTTCTTTCACTTTTTTCCTACACTTGAAAAAAAGTGCTTAGCACAAATCTTTCATGGGTAGAAAATTGCACATCAGAACAATTTTTCAATCATATAGTTCCTGGGGAAATTTTATAAGCTTTTATTTTGAATGTTTGATATAATTTAGCCAAGGTTGTCCTGATTGGAAGTAGTACCACAAGTTAAAAACAGAACAAAACAAAAAAAAAACAAACTTATAAAATAGTACTGGAAAGTATATGATAGGGAAAGTATTTTGATGGGCACTTTTCTATGTGGTTTACTTCCTGGTGGGCATATTTTTGGCATTTTGTAATGCCTCTTGTCAGACCTAGTCAACAGTAACCAATAATGTCACCTCCACAAGTCAGTCCTCGTCAACAGCTCTGTAGCCCTATGCCCTGCATTGGTCTTCAAGTTCCTTCAGACCATTATGGTTACCATAGTTGACTCTTCACTCATTAACTTGTGACCTGTTTGTCGCTGGTATCATGTTGGTATGCATGGTTTCACTCGACTTAGCTGGTGTTTGTTCATGATCATCCACTCCTTTGCCATGTTGTGTTTTTTTAATGTCAGAAGGTGAGAGGATCACTGATGAAGCAAAGTGAAGTGAAGTGAAGGCAGTTTGACAGCTGGAGTGACACAAAGAAACAAGAATCCTTTGGAATAAAGAATTGGGTTAAAAATATAACAACAATTTGGTTTATATATGATTTGTTGTATACAGAGGTTTTAACCTTTCCCACTTGTTATAATCAAATGACACTGGGATCCCACTTGGAGTCTGCAGCTTGTGTTAGTAGTAACTTAAACTTCTAATCTGGTCTTTAGGAACGTAAGTTGTCCAAATCTCTGGATTATATGGAATCCTATGTCCAACAGGGGTGGGGTTGACTAGGGTTTGGGTTTGATTGTCTTCTACTCTAAGCATCAACCTTTTCTAAGTTTCCATATATAAATATACATTTACTCAAGTGGTTTTCCAAATTTGGGGTTTTCCAGTCCCCTTTTGAAAGTGGTCAGAGGAATGAAGCTGCCGCTTAACTCCACTCCCTTCATGTCTCACTTTATGCCATCACTCCATATAGGCAGTGCTAATCTCACTCTTCCTTCTGCCACTTTCTCAGCAGTTAACCTCAGCCTGTTCCCAGGGCTGGTGTGAGAAATACAACTTCTAGATGTTGTAGTGAAAACAAAAGAATTTCCAATCATTAATCTTTTTTATCAACTTGTCCCACCAACCAGATCATTCAAGAATTGAGAAAGAAAAAGAAAGAAAATTATTTCCACTCTCCTTAAAAACAAAAGTTTATCTTTTCTCTGTCTATGCACTTTTATGATCAACAGACCACACAGCCTTTCTCATTGGTGGGAAGTGGGGAAGAATGGGTCATCTTGGTTTTGCTCAATCTTACTGAGTTCCATCTAGTTAAATTTGGGTTTGATTCTCCTTGGAATTATTTTCATTTCATTTTTAATTCTCTTAACTTTTCAATCCTTCTTCCTGTGAATTTCAACAATTACCATCCAGTTAGTAGACTCTTTCTTCTTCTTTCTTTCTTTCTCTTTTTGTTTGATCAACCTTCGGAGATCTCAGTGTCACATTTAGCACTCAATAGATTTAAGTAATAAAAAATGCAAAACTGTAATGCCTGAGAAAAAAAAATGATTTCATTAAATTTCAAAGTTAAAAAACAACACTGACAGGAATTCAAAAACCCAGATTTAAATTTAAAAAAACAACACTGGCTCAGTGTTGCTAGCACACTACTCATAAAAAAATTTACGAAATTACTTATGTACAAATTTGTCATAAATAGCAGATGATCAACATGTCAATCTGTTATTTTAAAATTCTGTAAGAATAAAATAGTTGTATGACCTTAGCTGCTGAAAAAATAACAACAAAAACAAGATTGTAAGTTTAATGTATATGCACCTTAAAATGGTAAAATTTAACTGTACATTTTTATTGACTAAATTGGGAATAAATCAGCCAGATATAACCAAAAGTTAATTTTGCAACCCTAAATTATCCTACTGTCTGTTAATCTCTTAAGCTTTGATCTTTCTTTTGCTTTCTTTATGTGCAAAAATTAAAAATAAATCAAATCAGCAACCCTAAAAAATTCTTCAATATTTATCATTTATCAATTTATAAAGAAATACATGTGAAAACTATTTTTATTCATAAATTTATAAACATTTACTAAATTATATGTGAACCAACTACAAGGAAATTTTTATTATTTACCATTTTATAAAGTTTGAATCAATAGGCAATTTTTTCTAACCATTTCAATAAACAATAGTGTTTATTATTTTTGTTATCAATTCTCGAGAACAAAGAAAATGATTAAATTCACTTTCATATATTTAGGTTTTATTATAATTCTAATCATCACTTTTTAAAACAAACATTGCTGTGGCGTGAAGATAGTTAAAATAATAGCAGTGTTAAGGGGAAAAAATGTCTTTTAACACACTTTTTTTGTGGTTAACTATTGTTGAAGTAATTTTTATTAATCAATAACAGTTGCATCCATTATTAATTACAGTAGCCCAACAAGTCTTCCATTCCTGCCAAAATGCTTGAAAACAAA